AAACAGGTGCCCAGATTGCTGTCCATGCCCAGGAATCATGCAGGGACTTTAGAGCTGACCTGCTTAGGTATGTTACCTGGACAGTATTTTTTTAGCTAGAGGATTATACAGTTGCATCGTGTCATTTTTTTCAGATGGGATGCAAAAGACTTAGGATCCAAAAGCAACTTCCCTGATGGGATGGAGGTCCCTGTCAGAGAACTTTTCATTTCCAGCCCTGCCACTGTTTTACTTTATAACCTTGGGCCAGGTTGGCTTCCTCTTCTAGCCCTCAGATTCCTTAATTTGTAAAACAAAAGGGTACTGTGGCTCTTTTCTCTTTCACATTTTCATTTAAGCTCTATGGGAAAAAAATGCTGTCTTGTATTAAAAAACTAATGATTACAAGTAAAATTGGCACACAGTACTGTGTAAGACATTGCTTTTTCTGAAGAGCTCAAGTCTCAATATATAAAGCAGAGAACTGGGAGTATCATTATCCCTACTTGACCTGTTGAAAATGCAGACCAGCTGCAGTGAATTCTCCAGAGTCACCCAGGGTGTCCCCAGCTGGTAGCTGGACGGGAGTTAGTGCAGCCTTTCCCTTAGTGCAAAGCAACCCCTTCCCCTTGCCGCTGTTCATCCCTTGCACTAAGAGGTGCTCAAGGACACAACTCCAAACTACCCTCGTGCACCGGGTAGTTTTCCCCACCTTCCATTCTGCCTCTGCATTCCCCCAGCCTGCGCATGGGGCTGGGATGTGTGGTGCAGAGCAGAGACTGGTTCCTATTTGGGAGCCTTGTAAATTACAGACAGTGTGGCAGTAACAAGGGCTGCTTGGCTGGCCCTTGTTAAGCAGGAGGGGGCTTGGGGCTGTGAGCAGCATTTCCGCAGTAAAACCTTCAGTTTCTAATCAGCAAACACCTCTTCTGCTGCCTGTGCTTAATTCAGATCCCTTTTGCCTTTCGAGCTCGGTCATACACACACACCCCCACGCGCCTTTCTTCCCTTTTATATCTTCACCTCTGTTTTCTCTTTCTTGCTCCGCTGCCTTTGCAGTGCTCTCCATCACCGCGGCACAGCTGGGCTGCACACAGGGACCTCGGTGGGCTTAGGTGTGCGGCGGGAAGCCGAGCCGACAGATTTTACACCCCCACCACTCCTCCGCATCTGATGAAGCTCTCGTTAATTTTGTTCTCCTAATGGCCCCTTCTTTGATTTACTGGGCTGTCTGAAAGGGACTTAGAGCTCCACCGACAGGAAATTGTTATTTTAACCTGGCAGGAAAGAATTTTAAATAAATAAACAAATAATTTTTGTTTTTTTCCTACCCCTTGAAGCTCTTTAAATTGCTTTAACTCTTTCTTTTCCTAGATAGCAATTAAGCAGGAGCTGTTGAGGGTGGTGGTGGTGGTGGCCGCAGAAGTGTCAGTAGCTCACAAGGTACCTGCCTTGGGCAGAGGAGGCAGCAGAGCAGAGGACACTGTCATGCAGCAGCCCTGCAGCTCCTGGCACAGCCCCCTGCCCAGGACCACCACCTCTGGGAAGTCAACTGGAGTGCCTGGGGCCTCCTCCACTCCCCATCTCTGCCGCCTCTCCCACTGCAGCCCACGCTGGCGCCGCTCGCAGGGACACTGGGCAGATCGAAAGCTGCATGATTAATAAAGTTCCTTGCTTTGCACTATTGCAGGCTGCTTAAGGGCAGCATTTTCAAAAGAGGTCAGCTCCCATTTAGACATCGAAATAAGTTGGTTGCCTATTCAGGAGAGCTCAGCATGTCAAGAACTGAATGCTTTTGAAAATCTGGATTCAATTGTGGAAGCTGAGAATTTCAAAATCTGGCCCTGGATCCTAATAGTTCTTTTGGAATTGATGTTTTCATTCATTTTCCTCATTATTTTTATGCTGGCCATTTACTTTTTGTACTTCACTCAGCTGTGAAAGAAATGGCCACATGTCCCTATTTAGAGCTTGTACTGTGCCTGGAGGTTTGGGGAGGTACCATACACTTGTTGCAACACACCTTCTCCCCTGACTTCTCTGCTCAATACTGTTCAATCTGCCCAGTACCATGGCCAAAGTTTTTTAGCTCCCCTGTTTTTTCTCTGCACCTATTCCCCTTCATCTTTTTACAGACCTGGGAGCAGCAAGTTTAGTCACTGCATCAATGTGCCTGGGTGGTCCTAGCTCACGAAGGGTCTATTGCACATTCCTGTGCCTTTGGCTTTGCCCTTCTGGCCAGAGGCTCTCTGCAACGCAGAGCTGCAGGGAGGTCTGGTTGGGAACATCCTTGCCTACCCCCTCCCTCAGCATGGGCTCCAAGGAGCAACTCTTTTCCTTCCAACATTTTTCAATCCTGCTGCCAAAACCATCCAGATAGGGGGAATGAGTCAGTTTTGCTCTGTAGGCTTCCAGCACTGAGGAACAAGACACTAAGTCCTACCCCAGAATGTGTCTTCTACATCAGTGTAAGGCTTTCTGTCTCCAGTAAATGTTATGGTGTGAAATGCAGTGTTTCTAAGCCTGAACTAATTCCAAGTCTTTTCCAGATGAGTGTAGTTAGTGCAACATCAGCTTGTACGTCAGCAGTGGTATCGACAGTGCGTGCTCTGGTACCTTTGGGACCTAGGGCACTTTTGCAGCCATTGTCAGTGGCTGTGGCACGATGAAAGGTGCTTTGGCAGCTGTCTTACATAAACTTGAGTAACTCAGATGGTCTCCAAGTCAATTGCTGAAGTATCTTGTACAACAGTATGTGCTGGTTGATGAGAGAGATTGTTGAGACTCTCTTCTTGGGTGAGGAGAGTGAATACTGAGAAGGATCAGTTCTGTGGGAGGGAAGTTGCTGTCTTGTCACTTTGGCACTGGAGGTTACTCACAAAGGATTTTCACATGTAACAGGGCTGTGGGCTGCAGTAGCTAGAGTATGAGCCTAGCTGATCTTTCTAGGTCTCTTCAGAATATGCCCAATGTCCGTGCTCCTGGATGCCTGGAAGCCATGTCAGGCCATGCCAAGCTTGACCTAATTTATCCTGCCTCTCAGCAGGGCTCACAGCCATGCTAACCATGAGTGTATGACTGGGAACAGAGCTGCCTTGCACTGAGCCCACTGTGCTGACCAGCCAGCTGAGCTCACATTGGCCTCCAAAGTGCCACGTAAAGATGCTCCTTCTGGCATTTGTGGCTCTAGCAGCAGGTCGCTTTACTTGGCATTGCTTCCTTTTGAAGGAAGGCAGTTCAGAGAAGGCTTTTCTTGTCTCTTCTCAACTTTATATGAATGCCTTTGTGACTTCTCCCCCAGGCAGTGCTCTGGGGCATGGTGGAGGGAAAGGCGACAGTTTGTGAGGCTGTCAGAGGGACAACCTAATCTCCAGAGATGCATGCAAGCCTGCTAGCTGGATTCTTGCAATGTGAACCTCAGCATGGCTGGTCATGGACATTGCCCCTACTGCATTCTTGCACCTTTGCTGTCACCAGAGGCCAAGCTCAAGAGTCTCAAGACTCTCAAGAGTCATTTGAGAGTAGCTTGGCAATATTTCCCCAAATCTGTGGTTCCTTGCTAGCAGTAATCAGACTTGCCTTGAAAACTCACCAAGCATCTCGGGGGGAGTCTGTGTCAGTCCTTACTTCAGGAGTTAGGAAGTTTAATTTTAGAGGTTATGCTTGAAGGGACTTCTCCCCTGTTTTTGACAGAGATGGTTATGGAAAGGGCAAGTTCAAACAGGTGATGGCTCAAGCAGTGACTGTGGTATAAGTAGGAAATACTGCTCTGCAGAGTCCAGGAGCTCTTGAGGTTGGTGATTGTGGCTAATGAGCTTGTTGTTAACTGCAGTGGGAGCAGGCAATGTAACTGCTACTTGGGCTGGCTGCTGTGGTTGGTTAGGTCTTGGGCTTTTCCCTGTAGACATGCCACAGGAGCAATTCTGCAATGCCTTTAAGACTTGTAGGTCATCTTCTTAGTGTTGTAACATGAGGGAGCTCAACATCCTGTAGCTGCATTACCATGTCTGTAGAGGGAAGTCTTCTCTTGACTTCAGCCTGTTGCTTTTGGTTAAAGCTGAATTCAGTCTGACATCTGAGTTGTCTCTTGAGGCAGCCACTGAGCTCTGTAATCCCCCTGACCTGGCTTGTCTGATTTAGTGTCTCTTCATGACAGTCTGTCCAAAGCAGCAGCTGCAGTGTGCAGCTCTTCACAGCAACCTGGGTTGTGATGGGTGGCCTTGCACTTCTGCTTTTTTGGAGATCGTCAATGCTTTCAGTGGTTTGTCCACACAGGGTAGTTCAACTCAAAATGGGCAATGTGTTTCAGGCAGAACAGTTAATCTGAAATATTTTTATAGATTGAGTCTCTTAGTTTAGAATAAAGGTGTATTATGCCAAATTAGTGTATCTGCCCTCAGCTCACTGCACTGAATTTAAGCAAATTTAGAACTGGGCATTTATTTTTTTCCTGAAAAAAAGGTTTCCTTTCAGAATATTCCTTGCAGAGATGGCCTGAAAAACTTTTGCATTTCCTAAGAAGTTCCATCTAGATTGAAACATAGGTTTCAGTAGCAACATGGCCAGTGTCTCAGGAAGAGGCTGTGGTATCACCTCTGTTTTCATGTAGCTTGGTGCTTGTACTACTGATTTACTCTTGTGTTCAAGATAGAATATATTCCAGACACAGCCAAGACGTGGCAGCAACACTTAGTGGATGTCTTCGGTGACACTTAGTTGGAAGTGTTTGTGTTTTGCTTGTGAAAATTGCCTGGTGTGCATTGCTGTCATTCACTGTGCCAAGTCTGAAGTGGGGAAGGGGAGTGTGTGTCTGCATGCACGCACAAGTACTGAGGGCTAAGGATGGGATGTCTTGGGAGACTCACAACCATGCCTGGGGGAGAGGCTGGAGAAGAGAAATGCTTGCATCAGTGTCTGTAGCCTCCTCAGGCCACTGGCTCAGTCAGTTTGTAGCAGGGCTGGAAAGCAGAGAGAAGTCTGAGGGTTTCATCCATCATGTCTCTTGTCATCTGCAGGAATCCGCTGCCGCACATCCGCTGCATCCCCTGAGGCAGCTTATGGGACCCTTCCCTGGGCGCCCCAGGTCACACTGCATGGGATGGCAATGACACGTGGAAAGAAGAGGCCCATGTCCCCCATCCCTTGCCTCATGCTTGCAGCTGCTAGCTGCTTTGCCAAACTAAGTGAGTTTCTGTTCTTACCCATTTGTTCCATTTTGTTTTGCCTTGATGCTGTTTAGCATAGCCATGCCTCAAGCTCAAAGTGTTTTTCTCTCTCCACTGCTTCCTCAGTAGCTTTGACCAACGGTCTAGTTTCAAACACTCCTCCAGAGGAGAAGGAGCTACATTTGGAGTAGGAACATGTTTGCCTGGTGGTGCCAAGCTAATGTGCATCTTCAAGTACTAGAGTGGGTGCATGGGGAGCTAAGGGGATGGTGCAGCACAAGCAGAAGCGATGGGGAATGCAAAGTATACAGCACTGCAGTTTTTTCCTCTGTCCTTTCTTTTGCTAAGCTTTCTTATTCCCATTTTTTCTCTCTATGCAGGTGAATCTCTGCAGGTCACAGTGCAGCCTGCTTCCATTGTCCAAAAACTCGGGGGACCAGTCAGCCTGGGGTGTGTGGTGGATCCCCCCAGAGTGAACCTCACCTGGAGACTGAATGGGAGGGAGCTGGCTGGATCAGATGAGGTGCTGGGTATCCACGTGGAGCGAGGGAAACTGGTCATCACGGCTCTCAACAACCACACTGTGGGCCGATACCAGTGCATCGCCCGTGTGCCTGAAGGAGTCATTGCCAGTGTCCCTGCAGTGGTCACCTTAGCTAGTAAGTAACTTTAGTCCTCTGCCATCCCCTGCTTTGCTTGGGCCATCACTCACACATTTTGAGAGGCTCTTCCATAGCTGAACCATCATCCTTTGGCTTAGGCAATTTTGTAGCATTTTTGATTGTGGACTGGCTGTCATGTTGTGGCTCAGCCTTGACCCAAGCAGTCCTCTTCCTGCATGGTAGGCTTCAGACCTGTCCTGCAGTGACAGGTTTTTGCAAGACAAGGAAATACCTGAGCTGTGGGGTTTGTGCACATGGTTGGTTTGCCGACAGTCATGCTGACTGTCTGGTTGCTGTCTTCATGACTGAGTTTACAAATATACCTGCTGGTGCTGATGGCCAAACTGGTGCCTGGGCTGCTGCAGGACTGCTGCCAGCACAGGGTCAGTGTGTGAGAAGTTTTACGCATTCCTGAGACACAGCTCTGAGGGAGGGACTTTACTCCTATCCCTGAGCTTACATGCTCCTCACTGCTGCCCTCTGGCATCGGCGATGAAGGCTATGTGTGCATGAAAGAAGGTGTCTTAGAGTGGGCAACGTTTTTTACAGGTGCCTGGTTTTGGCATGTTGCTATGCTCAAATGTGAGAAAGTGCTGTATTTGGTGGATCGGAGAGAGGGCAGTGGAGAGCCTGACCTTCTCAGAAACTGACACAGTTTTTGGTGGGGCATATGTGTGCAGAGGAGGCTGTCGTCCCCTGGCAGTGACAGCTCCTGAGCATGGAAAAGTCTTCATCTCCCCAGCAAGTGAGAGTTTGGGGCTAAGTCTTAAGAAAATGAAGAAGTGAAGATGTTTGCGCAAAGTGGGGGCTGTCTTTGCTTTAAAGCCAAGAGCTATTGGCTTGTCACTGATACATTAATCAGGACTGAAATGTTTAGGCCAGGCTGGGTGGGAAGAAGAGGCCAGGGAAAGCGAGGGGAGAGTTGCTGAACTCTGAGGCAGGGTGGGAGGGGGTTGTCACGGGGCTGAGTCTGTCGGGGGATTTGGCCTGAGCCCCATGCCAAGATTAAGTTTCGGAGAACACATTCCAGAGCAGAAGGGGGGCTATGTGTGCTGGTGGCCTGATAGAGGAAAGGAGAGGAGGGGAGAGGAGGATGGGATTACCAAGGGCATGGTTTGCATTTAGGAGAGCAGGGTGTGCACAGCTTCTCAGCCTGATCAGTTCCTTCTCAGGCTGATCCCCTTTCTTTTTTCACCCTCACCCCAACCCAACACCACCAGCTCTGTCTACTGGGACAAAGTATATCTGTTTGACCTATCTGTCTGCTTGGGTGTAGTATCAGTGGTGGATGAGAGACAGGTCCTAGAGCACCAGAAGGTCCCACCATGTTCTTCAGGACAAATTAAAGCCACAACTGAGTAGTCCATTAGCTCTGTCCGAGAGCCAAATTACCTTCGCCTACCAGAATGCAGCTGGGAATGTGGGTGCAAAAGAGGAGGACTTGGCCATTGTTGAGGTCCCTGCTGTGGCAAAGGCACTGTTGCTGAGGGGAGGTCAAGAGCACTAGTCAGTGAAGCTCACAATATTGATTGGATGGCAGAGAGGTTGGATGATCAAGCAACTAATCCATCATAGTGTATCCCATGTGCTGCACTGCATGGGTCTCTTGCCCTCAAGGGGAGCTGGGGATGGCTGAGGCCATATCCCACAGACTTGGACAGCCTCAGGCAATAGAGAGCCCCCAGGTGGAGGAAGGCTTGGCAGTAAGTGAGTGAAGAGAGAGAGGGCATCCCAGGAAAGACATGGAACTGAAGGTGTAGAAGGGAAACCTTCTGGAGGGGTTCAAATAATCAGTTTCATGTTCGTGAGCTGGAGGCTGCTTGCAACAGTGGCTTTGCTGTGGTCTGAAATAACAGGGAGCATTGATTTCTGGTGGGACTGAGTTTGAGAGCTGTGTAGCAGTTGTGCCATGGGCTTTTGCTCCTGCTCCAGACCTCCTCTACAGGGCCTTGCTGATTCAGTGGGGTCCGTGATCCTGGGAGGGAGAGGGAAGCCCCTGACAGGTCAGCGTTGCAGTTGATGCATCTCTTCCAGAGCACCTTCTGGGCTGAAATAAAACCCTCTGAAAGTCTTAGCTCCATCCAAAAAATTATTTTGGGGTGCCAGGGGGAGTGTGAAACTGGAACATGAATGAAAGAAGTGGTGGAGAGGGTTGGAAATATTTCCCAGATTTAGGTTTATTTCAGAAGTGGACTTGCTAGGAGAAAGTGACTTGCTAGGTTTTGAGTGGTGTAGGTAACATCATCTGGCCAACTTTTAGGCTATTTGCACTCCTTTCTCTTCAGCTCCTTTGGAGGAAACACTCTGGGCTGTGTGTGCCCAGCGTCCTGGGGCCTCCCTGTGCTCTGCTGACAGTCAGCAAGCAGATAACTGTCACTGCAGTGTTGGCATCTACAGCCTTAGGACTGATACCTCCTCCCATCTGTGGCACAGTGCTACTGAGTCCATCTCTATACTAGCTGAAAGAGCTAGCATTTAATTCCTCCAGCAGAGATAAAATAGCTATTGTATAGCCAAGAGGTAGAGGGAGGAGGGGTTTGCAGAAAGGGGAAGATTTCATGAAGTAACAAAAGGAGCAGCACTTTAGGCATTACTTAGGCACTTCTGAGTCTAGTTAGAGCTGATCTGGTACTCCACACTCAACCTTGGCAGCCAGTGGCTTATCAGTGCAGATACACACCTGCTGATCACTGCTGGCCTGTGGTGTACAGGATCAGCCCTGTGTTGGCCCTGTGTCAGCCCTTGGCCTGACAGTGGTCTGCAGTCTGGGACCATTTAAATGGATGAGACACAGGTATTCTTGGTTTTCCAAGCCAGGCCCTAAGCCTTCATATGGCTGAGAGCTGCAAAAAAGAGAGAGGTATTTTCTGTGGCTGATGCTAGGTAGCAAAGTTGCTGTCATACCAGAATCCCTGCCCCAGCTCCTCTCCTGGGTAGACGTGCTGGGTGTAAAAGGTATGGCTGCACTGGGCTCTGGTGGGGCCAGATAAATCCACCGTGGACATGAACATGGTGCTGTGGACTGGTTCTACAACACTAAAAGGCTTGGAAGCTCAAGAGCCCTTGGTGGTGCTCACAGGGCAACTGAAGTGCAGGGCTGGAGCAAAGCTGATGAGCAGAGGTGGCGAGAGCTGTGTAACTCCCAGCCTGACCTGGATCGACAGGACATTTAAAAACAGAACAGAAAAAATACATGAGGGGTACAGCAAAGAAATTCCACCTGCTCCAGTGTATCCCATGTGGCCAGGGACATGAGAATGACCTGTGTCCCAGCAATGCTGTGGGACAAGGAAGCTCGTTGCCCTGTGGCACTCCATTGGTGCTGCTGGTGAGGGCATTCCTTGGTTTTGTGGCAGCACGTTTGGGAAGTTGGGCCTCAGTGTACGGCACTTGTGGGCAGTGACCCTGCACCGGGTTGGGCTGGGCATCCCCCAGGAATTTGCAGCTGCTTTCTGAAGACAGCCCCATTCATTTTCCTCTGCCTGGGCCTCTCCTCTGATGCTCCCAAGAGGCAATGGCAAGAGAGAGGGAGGGAAGGGGGTGGCTGCCTGTTGGAAAAGCATTTGCTGAGCAGGCACGGGGGCTCTGGCCCCGGGGGCAGAGGTGGTGTGAGGAGGGGAGAGAAGAAAAACACAGGTGGTGCTTCGTGAGCCAGCAGAGCTGTGGCACGAGGACTGTGAGATGGGCCCCTGGTGGGAGAGTGGGGCTGAGGTGTGGTGGGGGGATGTGCTTGGGAGTGTGCGAGCAGGCAGGAGTATGGAGTGCTGTGCCTGTCCCAGCAGGGTGGGAGCAATCTGGTGGTGACAGCCCCAGGGCTAAGCCTCCTGCAGTGCTGGATGGATGGGAAGTGAGAGCCATAACCCCAGGCTCTGGCAGCTGAGGTGGGATTAGTGGAAGGTGCCTGCCCCCAGGCTGAGGGACCCTGTCTCTGCCTATTCTCCCATCTTAGTCTCCCTTCCTTCCCTCTTTCACCCTTCCCTACAGCAGAGATGACTTTTACCTTGAAGGCCATCATTTTATTTACTACTGCTTCTTCTCCAAAGTTATTTATGGTCTTCCATTCATTTAATGCTGCCTGCCTTGTTGCTTGGCCCCCAGCCCTGGGATTCAGCTGGTTTCCCTCCCCGGTGACAGCAGCACAGATAGCTGCAGGGCTGACCCTCCCCATGCCCCAGGTCACCTCATCATGCCTTGGAGTCAGGTGAAGATGGACACAAGCAATGGCCTTTGGTTGCAGTCCCTCCCAAACAAAAAAGGGAAAAAAATGTAAAAAAATAAGCCCTATTATCCTAGCATGGCTGGGATTGCCAGAGCTCTGTCTGTCTGTCTGCAGCACCTCCTGAACAGTGGCTGGTGGATGAGGACTTGCTGCTTTGCTGTGGTCAGGCATGTCTTTTAAGGACAAGGACATGGGCTGGCACGCCGGGTGCTGCCATATGAGAAGGAAAACCCAGCCAGTGAGAGGGGATGTGGTTTCTCCCAGCTGCAGTGGGAGTTAGGCTCAGGGTGCAAATTGCATGTTAGACATGGGGCATGGCTGCTGCGGGCTGGGCAGCCAAAGTGGTGAGTGCTGCGTCCCCCCGGCACTGACCCTCTCCTCCATCCCTCCCTGTTCTGCACCACCAGGTGGGGAGAGGCATGCATGGTCCACCCACAACTCAGGGGTAGCTCATTTGAAGCCCCCAGGATGAAGCTGGTTGTCCCAGCCTGGCATGGCACCCTCTGTTTTGCCAGACACATCGGGGTGTGTGAAAGGGGACTCATCCCACACAGGGAGGGGGACAGGGGTGCCCCCAACCACCCCTTGCCAGCTCTGGCTGACCCATCAGTGTTAATGCACTGCTGTATGTGCCCATACCAGTGGGGAGCAGAGTGGTTGAGACCGCCCATGGCCAAAATCCACTGGCAAATAAACCAGTCTTGTTCTCTGTGGGGGAGCAGGAATTTAGGGGAGTAGTTTGGCAGGAAGCTCATACAGTTGCGTATTGGAAAGTAGTTTGTCCCAATGCCCACCTCGTGTTTTTCCTCTCTCCCTTGCCAGTTTCACTCTACTTCACTAGAGGCACCTGGTTTTTGCTCCCCCAGTCACCCCAGGATCCCTTTCCTCTGTTCTTTCCCCCTCTGTCCACAGTTTCATCTCTCATCCCCCATGTCTGGTCTGAGGGGAAGCCAGGAAGAGCTGGAGGTCCTTCTCCCCACTGTGGGGCTGCAGCACTCACAGCTGTGAGAGAGGTGGGCTGAGCCACCATCTGGGGGGCTGCATGTGAGGGGTCTCCATATCTGCCCAGCCCAGAGTCATCCCAGGGGTCCTCAGGCATGGGATCATAATTTTCCATCTTCAGGATAACTCCACTGTGCCAGGACCATTGGTCTTCTCTTTCTCCAAGCTCCTGGGCCCCTTCTTCTCTTTGGGGTCTATGTGTGCATGTACACGTGCGTGTGTGCAGATCCCTGCCAGCATTGCTGGAGCCTATGCCTTGGCTCTGAAATCTTAATTTGGCTGTGATGAATCCAGACCACCAAGGCACACATTCATTTTCCTGATGCTCGTTTATATTTTGTTGATCGAAGAAATATGCGTGATGTGGGCAAGCAGACGCTGGGCTTTCGCCACTTCTCCACCTCTTTCCATTTCTGTGGCTCTTACTGTTTTGTTCCTTGATCAAATATAAAAAGCAAAGAGGAGAAAATATCCAGCATCCTTCCCCTCCCCAGCAGCAACTTTCGTTGGAGGAGGAACGCGAGGCGCTGCCAGCTTTTCACAAGTCAAGAGTTAACTTTCATCTGGCTTTAATATCCAGTGGAAACATGGCTCTCCTTCTCAGCTTGTCTGAAAGGATTAATCACATTTCTGAAGTTCACCCGTATTCCTTTTTTATTATTTTTTTTAATTGAACGATGCCAAGAAATTCCAGAAGTATTAAGCATGTTCACTGCAAATCATTTTTATGACATTGCAAAACCTCCCCTTTTCTTTTCAACCTCCTCCCCTTCCCTCAGATCTGGGCCCGGGAACGCTGGCTCCCCCAGCAGCCGCCCGGCAGCCCCTCCGTGCCGCGCTCGGGGAGGCTTTCTCCACGCCTTGCCAAGAGAGCTGGTTTTTATTTAAACTCCATAAAGGATCTTGCTTTAATCAGAAAGTCTGCTTGAGAAATTTCATGTCACTTTTCCATGACTGTGGGTGGGAGAAGCTTGGAGCCAGAGTTGTCTTTTGCTCTTGGAGCGCTGCTGCATTTCCCAGAGAACAAAAACACATTTTTCTGCTGGCTGGGGCTGCCGAGGGAGGCTGCCTGCCGCCCGCTCACCACCAGCCCTCCTGCTTCCCCCTCCCCAGCTCTCCAAACTGCCCAAGGTCGCGAGTGCCACATCCCAGGATGGGTTTCTAGGGGCGAGGAGCTGTCGACAACACGTGGCCGTGCCGTGGCGACAGATGCGACACGCTGCCTTAGCGTGGGGTTTGGAGAAGGAAGCGTGGCCGCATCCGGATTTAGTGGCAATATCACTCGGGAGATCTGTTAGCTCTGGGTCCTGGGGGACATGCATGGACTTGAGCCTTGATGTGGCAACGTGACCTGCGACCAACTGCAGCATGTGCGGTTGTCACTAGTGGTCGCCTAGGCTAGTGCATGGCATTGTTAAAATGTGCAAGAGGAACGTTTTTCCTGCTGGCACAAAACCTTCTTTCTCCCAGCACAGGCTGTCTGAGACAAACTTTCAGCTTGCAGTGCCCCAGCAAGATTTGCCTTCATGCCTAGGGAGAGTGGAAACCAGTTTTCTCACTGGAAAACTCGGTGGGGCCAGGCTGGTATGCTCCCTGCCCTGCCAGATCTGTGGGTGTTCACTTCAGTCCTCTGCTTCTGCTTTGAAAAACAGGGAAAAGACAACAAAAAGTCCGGCGCCCCTTCCTCCTTGCCCCTGTTCTTCCAATCCTGCTGCCCACATCAGCCCAGCCAGCGTGAGAATCCCTATCACAGCCTGCTGGGGGGATATGTAGTGGGACAGGGTTTTCATGGCTGCTTTAGGGAGAGAGCAACTGTGCCCTGTAGAAGAGGAGCTGGTTTTGCTTGCAAGTCCCTGTTCTTTGAACTGGAGTGTGGGCACTGTTTGGGCACACATGAAGCATCGTGGTCAACCAGCCTTTAACTGTGAGACATGATGGGAGTGAGAGTGCCCGGAGCAGAGACACCCATTGCTCAGGCATTGGAGGCACTCGGGGCAGCTCTGGAAGCATCCAGCATTCGCACACTTTCTCCCACTCTGTCACCTGGCATTTGTTGGGCTGCCTGAGTTGTGACTACAAAGTTAGCTTCTCAGTAGCAGGATGGCAACCGTGTTTGAAATAGCAGGTGGCAGAAGGACCATTTTTGGCTGCCCTTCAGTGCTGCAGTAAGTTGGATCAGTTTTTATTCTCAAGCCAGGATTTTTCACACCCAGTTTCCCAGCCCTGCAGCAGGCAGTTTCTCCAGAAGTTGTGTCTTAAGTTAATCATTTTGTAGAAAGGAGGAGGAGGAGAAAAAAAAATAAAGCTGCAAAACTAGGCCACTTTCCCTAGCTGCTAGGCTCAGAGTGGTCCTCTGCTGGCACCACAATGAAACAGTCTGCAGGAAGAGGATGAGCTGACACTGAGATGCTTAGCGAGCCACTAAGGTGCTCTGTCTTTTGCTCCATTTGCAGATCTCAAAGATTTCAAGTTCGATGGCCAGCACGTGATCGAGGTGGATGAGGGGAACACGGCCGTGATCGCCTGTGACCTGCCTGAAAGTCACCCCAAGGCTCAGGTCCGCTACAGTGTGAAGCAGGAGTGGCTAGAGGCCTCCAGAGGTGAGTGCACAGGGGTCTGTCCCACCGAGTCTGCTCCCAGGACCCTCACTTTTACCCTTCCTGACCAACAGTAGCTTTCTTTGCATGATGCCTCCCTGTCCCTTCACCACCAGTCTGAGCACAAGTTAGGTTAGGGTCCCTGGCAGGTCTCCCTGGTGTCCCTGCTGTCTGGGGCTGGAGATCCATGGCTAGCACTGGCTTGCAGCAAGGCAAAAGGAAGCAGAAATGAGGTAATGCACAACATCCCTCTTCATCAGGCATGTCTGTGTGTCCATGAAGCATTCTTTTAGCCCAGCTTAGATAATGGAGACTTTGGATGTGGTGAAATTTTTAACATTTGGATCTGAATTTAGCAGCTTCACTATATTTGCTGCATGTACCTGTGACAAGCTAGTTTCACCTGAAGCTCTGTTCCTTCATCATTGCATCTTTGCTCCCCCTGATATTTGAACCAGATGGGGTCATTTCAGTGCTGTTGGTGTTACTGTGTTGTTTTTTGCTTTCACACTTGTCCACCTTTTCTTCAGGACTGCATGTCTTTCAGGAGGCTGGACTGGAGCATATCTTGTGACCACATGCCACCTTTTCTTCTCTCTCTACAGACAATTACCTTATTATGCCATCTGGGAACCTTCAGATTGTCAATGCCAGCCAAGAGGATGAGGGGACTTATAAATGTGCTGCCTACAACCCTGTGACGCAGGAGGTGAAAACGTCGGTCTCCAGTGAAAGGCTTCGTGTGAGACGTAAGCTGCTCTCCCTTCACCACATTTGTGCTCCACAGTGCTTCCAGCTCTGGGAGCATGTACCAGTGCAATCACAGCCATTTTCCTGTGTGAACCAACATTATCAATTGCTGGGAAAACTCCTGTCCAGTAGCAGAAGGCCCCAGGGTCTGCTCCCTGGATATATGTGTGCAACCCTTGGACTGCCATGCCTCCTTAGGATTTGTTCTTGGTGATGGGCAAGCAAAGGCTCTTAGCCCTTCGGCAGTGCTGCTTGCTGTGTGTTCATGACCCTTAAGGATGTTCCTCTTGGTCTGCATTGCCATTTTTCTGCCCCAGCACAGGGAAATGGTGTGCTAGCCCTACTATTAATCCTACTTACCCACTGCACAAGGTGCTTTTCCACCAGCCACCTTCCTTCCACCCACCTCCTTCCTCACTCTCTTCTCCCTAGGCTCCACAGCAGAGGCAGCCCGGATAATCTACCCCCCTGAAGCTCAGACCATTATTGTCACCAAGGGCCAAAGCCTCATCCTGGAGTGTGTGGCCAGTGGGATTCCCCCACCGCGGGTCACCTGGGCCAAAGATGGCTCTGGTGTCTCTGCGTACAACAAGACGCGCTTCCTGCTCAGCAACCTCCTGATCGACCCCACGAGTGAGGAGGACTCGGGCACCTACAGCTGCACAGCTGACAATGGGGTTGGGGAGGCTGGAGCTGCATTCATCTTCTACAATGTGCAGGTGTTTGGTGAGTGCTGCTGTAGCCATTGTTTCAGGAAGGGTTTGGAATTTCTCCACTGCTTTTAGGGGAAAATGCTAGCACTGATGTACTCTTCCTCTCACTGGACAAACCACAATGTAATGCAAACCGCTGCTTGTGGTTCCAGTTTCTAGGAGACCAGACAAATTCTTCCTTGAGGGTGGTAGTTCCTCCTTCTTGGCTCCCACCATGGGCTGGAGATGATGGATCCTCCCTTCCTCTGCAGAAGCTCATCATTTGTGGCCCTGTTTTTGCTGTAACACTTTCTAGTGGAGGACTGGCTGCTTTTTAGACATATTTGACATCAGCAGAGGGAAGACATCCATGTCTTGTTTTTTGTACTGTTCTGTAGGGAAGTTCTCTATGGGGTGGGAAATGTAAGGGATACAACATCTTAGATATTTTTACGATGCATCCTTCCTCTTCTCGCAATCATTAGAGAGGCTAAGCCTGTGTTTTATGGATTGCATTTCATCCAGGTGCTGATGTGTTGTTGTGGCATAAGCACAGTCTTTGCAGAGTAGCATTTCAGGTCAGAAAAATGGGACTTGTCACCTGAGAGGGGCGGATGACCTTGGGCCATGTGAGCCTCCACAAAGGGAGTGGGACTTGAGGGTAATGAAGGATCTGTCACTCTGCCCTCATCCCTGCCAGAGAGGAAAGCACAAAACCATGACTGTGCCATGCTTCTGGCCAAGTAGCACTGAGGAGCTGTGTTTTTTTCCTCACACAGAACCCCCAGAGGTCACGATGGAGCTGTCCCAGCAGATCATTCCTTGGGGCCAGAGTGCCAAGTTCACCTGCGAGGTGCGAGGGAACCCCCAGCCCTCCGTCATGTGGCTGCGCAACGCCGTGCCCCTCGCTGCCAGCCACCGGCTCCGGCTGTCCCGCCGGGCAATGCGGCTGGTCAGTGTGGGGCCTGAGGATGATGGTATATACCAATGCATGGCAGAGAATGAGGTTGGCAGTGCACAAGCCATGGTGCAACTGAGGACAGCCCGGCCAGGTAAGTCCCTCTCTCCCAGCTTGTGACCACTCA